ACAAAGGCTTTAAGGAAAAACTGAGTCCAAGTCCTCTTCTTCCTCTTTAGGGGGATATATCATGCCTTCACTTTGCCATTACACTAAAAAGAGCTCGTTTCCTCTCTTTATTCAGGTGACGTTTACCCTAGCATTTCTGTGCATTGCTCATTAGGCTGAGAGTGTGTGACTTGGCCTAAATGGATCCCCAAATTAGCCTCTTTTAGAGGAGCTGGACTATGGCTTTATTATCCCCAGCCAGCATAGCACTTGTTCTGTCCTGCACCTTGTGTCAGATATCTCTTTTGTTGGGCTACAGTCCCAGCTATTCAGATAAAGGATTTAAAAGACACTCAGTTGGGCATAAACATCTGAAAATGAATTGCATGTATTACATTTCCTGTTCTCCTTTTCCCCTACGGAATACTACTTGGAGTTTCCAGCCAGTCTCCTATCCTGACATTGACCAGCAGGCCTACTTAACTCCAATATGGGTCTTCAGGTCAAGGGTATGCGTTAATGTCTCCAGAGGCTAAAGTCTCGGTGTCCGATAACCTTCCAGAACCACTTATGTTTTTCATTAAAAAGATTAAAGCAGAATCCACAATGCTGCAAAGTAAAGAGCCAGTTGGTAGTTTCATCACTATGAATGCCTTTGGGCTCACATAGGCATTTTTAGAAAATAGAAATGGCAGGTTTCTGTAACTTACTGCTTTTTTTTCTCCAAAAAAAACACCAACCCCTATGATCAGCTAAGAGTGGCAATGGGAAGCTTTGTGGGGGTCTAGAGAGAGGTGAATAGCAATGCCAGCATCTTTGCTTCTTGTAAAGAGGAAATGTTATAATTCACCACACCTACAAAATAGCCATTTTGTGAATAGGCAACAACCCTGTGGCAGCCATTTTGTGAGATGATCTACAACACGCTCTCAAAATACCAAATATGTCCAAACAGGCTGCTTGCTTTCCCCCAGACCATTCCCTCCTTGCAATTTTCTAAGGAGCCTGTCAAATTAACACCCACTGTAAATAAAAGCTTAAACAAGGAATTCTTGTGGACGTTGTATGTAACAGTTGCCTTTTTAATGATCAGTGTTTTACAAGCACATTATCCACCTCAATAGCAGGAAAGGAGAAAAAAAGAAGCAAAAGAAGACCTCTTCTTCCCATACCCTCACTCACTTTTTTTCTGGGTACCTAATGGCGGTTTTTACTCCCTAAAGCTAATCAGGGCCAAAGGAAAGGGATGCGATTCTAACTCAATGTAGTGCTGATTTAGAAAACTAACAAAGTTCTAAAAAGGATTATGGAGTAAGGATAAAGAAAATGGCATTCAGGAAGGATAGTCCTACTGCTGAGTCAACCTAAGGCTAATCATACAGTACTGTCCTAATTCAGTGTTTCTCAGCCTCAGCAACTTTCAGCTATGTGGATTTCAACTCCCCATGCTGGCCAGGGAATTCTGGGAGTTGAAATCCACACAGCTGAAAGTTGCTGAGGCTGAGAAACACTGTTCTAATCCTTTGCACAATGGGAGAAGGACTGAACTCTATTCCTAGGGGCTTTTAAATTTGACTTTTGCTTATTATGAAAAAATACTTCTACCCTTCTTGATAAAACCAGGACATCTGCCAACAGTTAAAAACAATGCACATTTAAACCATCACAATGACTCCAATTTGTCTTTGATCATGCTTAATTTCCAAAGAATTAAACATTAGGTTCCTGATACTGATGGCAGATCTATCCCCTACCTGCTAATGTCCACGGAAGGTCAACTCACCAGCAAATCTGTCTGTGCCCTGATTTTGCAAGTGTTTCAGCGAGGCCTGTCCTGGAGAACTTTCTGGTAGACTGTGCTCCTGGTAGGTCAAATCTCACCCCCGGCTGAGGCCGTCACCCACCTGCTCTTTACTCCACGAGGGGCGTCTCCAAAATTCATGTTTAAACAGTGGCAGCTCCAAAAGACAAGGAAGCCTCTCTGAAGACTGGAGGTGAAACAGAGGCTGGAAATGGCTAAAATATGACTCAAAGTAGCAGGCAGAAAAGATAGGCAAGTACCTGCTCTCTTCCTGGTAGGTTTTCCTGTCTGCCCAGTAGAGTTATGGAAGCGGGTGGGCTCCTAGCAGTCATCTACCCCAACCCCCTTTTAAATGCATGATTGCAACCTAAGTAGCAGGTGATACTCCGTCCACTCTAGAATTGCAGACTGCAAGTAAACAGCAGACTCAAGCAGACTTTTTTCATACGGAAAATAACTCTTTTAAAGCACAGCTCACTATAGAGCAGTGTTTCTCAACCTTGGCAGCCGTAAGATGTGTGGACTTCAACTTCCAGAATTCCCCAGCCAGCATGCTGGGGGATAGAGAAAAGCAGAGGAGGTGGCTTAATTTTTCCCCATTTACAGCAACTCTTCCCCACAGAGTTTAATTCAGGTTTTTACAAAAAGTAAATTCTGTATATGTTTAGGAACTCAGATTCAGGGAAGAGAACAGTCCCCCCAAATGAGGAAAATCGTCTTTGTTCCAAATCATACACACTAGATCTGTTCTGAGGTTAATAGCCTTCAGACTTGCATAACATTTGTGTGAAGTCATCAGCCCTACTTTCAAGTCCCCCAATAGAACCAGGGAAAAACTTTCAGCATTCCAGATGTCCAAGATGGATTGTGGTTACCTAGCAGCAGAAAGAAACTGCTACCCATTACGGAAGGGTTTGGAGACCAGGAGTCTGGAATGGTGTGAGGACTGCTGTCTTGCACACGGGATTAGATTAGAAGTCCTCCCTTCCAGTCCTAGGATTCAATGGTTCTAGCTCAAACCATCTGGAGAATCTCCAGTTTGGGAAGGCTGCTTAACACCATAACAATTACTCTCTCTCTCTCTCACACACACACACTCCTGACTGAAACAAAGCTTTGGCCAACTCACAATCTCTCTTCCTATGTCGCTTAGGTAGACTTTGAAGATGTGATTGCTGAGCCGGAGGGCACCCACAGCTTTGATGGAGTGTGGAAAGCCAGCAATACCACCTTTACCGTCAGCAAGTACTGGTGCTACCGGATTCTGTCGGGGGTGCTGGGGGTGCCCCTCGCCTTGCTCTGGGGCTTCCTCTTTGCCTGTGTTTCTTTCTGCCACATCTGGGGGGCCGTGCCTTGCATCAAGAGCTACTTCATAGAGGTGCAGTGCTGTGGGCGCTGCTATGCCTTGTGCATTCGTACCTTCTGCGACCCCCTCTTTGAAGCGGTGGGAAAAGTTTGCAGCGACGTCCGAGTGGCCCTGCGCAAGGAACGCGCGAAGGACTGAGTCCTCTCCTTTGGATCAGGACAGGATTCTGGCTTCATCTTCCTTCACTTGACCCACTCAGGTGGGATAGTAGCTCAGCTGGAATCCTGAGTCTCTCAATCTACCGACCGAGGTGGAAGCAACCTGGCTGATGGAACTTTAATTCCCTGCCCCCAACAAATTACTCCCTCTTTTGGATTAGCCAGTTGTTAAGGTGGAAAAAAACATACACACTACACTCTAAACATCTCTCTCTTATTCTCTCCCTCACTCATAGACACACACACACACACACGTGTCACAACTTAGTGGCAAGTTCTTCTACAGAAGCCCTATTGAAATAAGTACCTGTGCAGGAGAATAGCTATAAGAGTTCTGCAGGGAAGCCACAACAAGCACTTGGCCTGGGGGTCATTTCAGCACCTTAGCTTCCCCGTCCTGGCACCTTCCAGATGTGCCACGATGACAGTACCCAGAATTTTCCAGCAGCCTGGCTGCAGAATTCTGTAAGTTGCTGTTCCAAGGGATGTGGAGGGGGCCAGTTGGAGTAAAGCTATCATATCTGGGATACACAATTCCAATATTGCCCTAAATTGGAAAAAGTTGATCTATTCTTCTAGGAAGCCATTTCAGAGAAGCTCTGAGTACAGCACTAAAGCCTTACATCTCACAATTTTATTCCTCTCTCTCTGGCATTTACTATATTATAGTTTTAGCCAACTCATCTCACATCACCACTGTGGTACCTTTTCTTTGAAATCAGCCTGTAGACATAAAATTAGTCAATCAGTGCTGCTTTTTCCTAAGCCTTAATGCTAATTCCTGCTTTGAACCAGACACTGACCATTTTCTAAAATTAAAAAACAATAAATGTTCTGCATTTTATGACAATAAAGCCCAAGCAAATCCTTCAGTGTCTTGTTTATTCTTTATAAAATCCTGACTGGTATTTTCTGTGGAGAGTTTATAAATCCAGTTTATTGCAAGAGACAGAAATAAACAGACTGTATAGAAAGATCACAGTACAGTCGTTTTTGTTAATGAAGAGCTAATACCAGGGCTGTACATATGCTGTAATTCACAAGAAACTCACAGGATGCGGTATTGGGCACAGAATTCTGCTTCCTGAGAATGTGAAAAAAGTTATATATATATAAAAAAATTATATATATATAAAAGAGCAAGTTTCTAGCCCTTATGTCTACAAAGCAATGCTCAAAAGTGTGGGTTTAGTTTCCTGCTGAAATTTTGGAACAAGGATTCCTTGGTCAGCTTTCCAGTTGTCAAACTAGTAACATAAATTATGGAAGAGAATCTCTGCAAGTTTAAGTTGCATAATTTACACAGATTGCAGAATTCAGCTTGTCTTTGCACAGCATTTTAAAGCACAGAGTACATGCAGCCCTGATTAATACTGAGCAGTAAAGACAGAAGAAGATGATGGAGCAGGAGGAAGAGGAGGAGGGGAAACAAACTGGACCTTGGATGAAGAGGGAAAAATTGGCACACAGGTCCCCACCCCAAATATGTCCCCTTACTTATTGCCCCAATGTAGGAGGGTGATGCGTGCAGGGATGGATGAGGCTGTACCAAGTAGCATGTGTGGGAAGAGTTCTAAAATTCAGACAAATGTATAAAGCATTAAGGGATACATTGCAGGAGTGGAGAGTCGAGGAAGGAAGGAACGGAGCACAGCTGGTGAGGGCTAGTGTGAAGCATGTCAGGAAGAGAATAACACACATACAAAAGAATGCCCTCCCTTTCAACCCCTGGCATCATAACTCATGATTCCCTTCCCAGGGCCAAGAAGAGACTCCAGGAATCTTGGCACACTCCCTCCCCCCTGCATCCCTTCCACATGCAGATCCAAGTGCAAACTGTTTGTGGCAAAGGAACAACTGGATGGGTGTTGGGTCCAGGACCAACCTGAAGGCAGCTGTATGTTTTAGTCCCAGCCACATCCACAACATGAAAACCTTCAGATGCACCTCCAGTGCAGGAAGACACCCAACAGCAAATGCATCTTCAACATTTGGCTTGGAAGTCGGAACACAAACTCTGATAAACTCAGATCACCCCCTTTCCCACCCCCCGCCAGGAGAGAGCAAGACACATCTGCCCTGAGTTGGTATCTGGAACAGAAAGGAGGAGGAGAAGGAAGAGGATGGCCACAATATTGGGCAAGTCACACTGGGGGTGATTTTCCCCATGTCACGTTTGACTCACTCTCCATTTCCCGAGGACTTGAAGACCCCTTTGCCCCGCAGAAGTGCCCTGTTCGAAGAGGCAGGTTTGGCAGGGGTGATTCCCTTCTTAGCCAAAGAATTGCTCTTTGGGGGTTCAGAATGATTGGGAGGGTCGCCAATCCCTGTGTGCTTCAAGGTAGTTTTCCCAAGAAGTTCTTTGAACACAGAATCCATATTCCTGGCAACCTCCTATCAGTGGAAAAAGAGAAAACGTGCTGAAGAAAGCAAGAGGTGGGGGAGAACTAGAAAGGGGAGAAAAAATGGGCAGGCTCTTACCCGGTCTACCTCTACCCGTTTCTCCACTGGTCCCTGTCTCTCAAAGTTATTGCCAGCCCAGGTCCGTGGGGAAACGTCATTCCAGCGGTCTGGTCTGGGGAAAAACAAAGAGCACCAAAGAGTGCACGAGATGTAAGACTGCACATGGACTTCCTAAGTGCCTTATCCATGTTCTAGCCCTCATTTTTTAAGTTTTCCACCTCTCTCAATGATCTGGGATTATGCTTCCCTTCACCCCTTTCCAAGTGCTGGTTGTGAAGGGCATTTGATTGGGAGGAGAAGGCCCTCATGGATGCAACTTATCAAACCCTGCAACTGGGAATAGTTATTCTAATGACACAGTTACTGCTGCCTATCAAGTACCAGGTGCAAAAGCCTATGGAAAGCACACGATTCGGTAATGGACCAGCACAAGTGATCAACCCCAGACATCTCTCTCTGTACCCAGTTGCTTGTCTCCATTCCTCAGTCAACCTTATTATGCCTGCAGTGACAACATTCTCTTGAAATGCCACTTCAGCTAAGTTTCTTCTGACTGTTCCTAGCCAGATTTTACCAAGCATTGACAACTGTTTAGCCTTCCTACTAGCAGACTAATGGCTTACGAGGTTGAGACCACTTCAAAGTGTAAACGGAGGGACATCATTTTTTGAATGCTCTCCTGGATTAAAAACAGCAACACACAAGGCTGAGAAGGAAACTGCCTCATCAACAAGAATGCTTGATCTGCCTCTGCTTTACAGAATGCTCTGCCTGCCCACCCGCCCG